GAATAGATTTAACTACTATAATTTTTGGTAGAACCAATATTTCATTATAATTTTTTTTTTACTTGCACTAATGCTTAGAGCCCTCTAGAAAAAAAATTCTCGATTTAATACTGTTTATATATGTATATTTATAGTAAGGTTTTAATTGATAAGTAGGTCATATGGTAGGTTGATAAGTGATACAAAGTGATATTTTTAACATACCCACTCAATTATAAACAGAATAAAAATATTTTAAACATTTTTTCATTGACACCGTTAGTTTTCAATTGTTCCTGTATAATAAGAACAGAGTACTTTTTAAGTTCATCCCTTATGTCTTGTAAGGGGATAAACTTAGTTTTTTCAAATAGAATACATATTTTGAATTCAATAAAATGTTTGGGGTTTTATTTTAATAGTAAATGGCACTTAAATTTTTAATATAACATTATTCATTTATTAGATATAACAGTTTAATGTTTAAATTTTCGAGTTAATAGACATGTATAATTCACGAGGGATTAAAAATACAGGTAACTAATAGGTTTTTTATGATACCGCTATCTATAGTTAGAACTATTGACAGGTATGTTTTTTATTTAGCCAGTTGGTGTATTTATAAATTTTAACTCATAACAATATACTTTACGACTACACTCTATGCATATCTGTTGATAAAGTTTGAAACTTTAAACTTTTATATCTAATAAATGAACAAAGTAATATTAAAAATTTAAATAGTATTAAGTATTAAAATAAAACCTCAACACATTTTATTCAATTCATAATATGTATTTTCATTTGAAAAACAAATTTACAACCTACAATACATAAGGGATGAACTTAAAAAATATTACTTACCTTATTATACAGGAACAACTTGTAACTAAAGGTGTCAAAAAAAATTCTATGAGTAATTGAGTGGGCTAAAAAAAATCATTCTGTAAACTAACTATGATTTATTATAATATAAATTTAAATTATATCCACTGTTTGAATTTAAAAATTAAAAATATATGTTATTTTGTTATAAGTAATAAAAATTGTATTATACAAGGTATTTTTATAGTTAAGTAATTTTTTTTGATAATTAGTATACAAGGTGATTTTTTTATAATAACCCACAGAATTACTTATAGAATAATAATAATTAAAAATTTTTTTTTTATTCTTATCTTTAGTTACACATTATTCTTGAATTATTAACTATGTAATACTTTTTAAGTTCATCCCTTATGCCTGGTAAGGGTGTCAACTTTGTTTTTTTAAATGGTAACACATATTTTTAATTTAATAAAATATTTGAGTTTTTAATTCAATAATAAATGGCATTTGAATTATTAATAAAACTTAATTTGTTTATTAGATATAAACATTTAAAGTTTCAAATTTTTGAGTTAATATATAGGTATAATACACAAGGGATTACAAATACAGGTAGCTAATTGTTTTTTTATGATATTGCTATCACAGTCACGGATTGTTTATTATCAATTATGACCATAGGTGTTGTGGAGCGTATACGCGGGTATACGGCGTATACCCACTTCTTTGTTTTTCTGTTATTGCGTATACTTATAAAATCATGAGTGATACGCGGGTATACGGCGTATATCCACTATTAGTTTTTTTATTAGTGCATATACGTATTTATAAAATAGTTAAAGAGTATAGACTAAAGAATAAAATAAAAAGTAATACGTGGGTATCGAATATAGGTACGTTTGTCATAAAACACAAATTTTGAATAACTATTATCAGTTTGTTTAATCTCTACAGTCATACCACATATAAACATATACCTGAAGTTATAAACATACAAATATGGCTCGAGACTATTATCATTTTAAAAATAGAATATAAATGTAAAACAAAAATAAATAAATAGGATAATGTTTATCATTTCACGACAATTTTATTGATAAAATTTAAAACATCGATCAGAAATTAACGATATAGCACATACTAAGTTGAAACTGAAATTTATTGGGTTAACCTATAGCTGTTGAAATTGGTAATTTGTATTTTTCCGTAATAAACCGTTTACCAACCAATCTAGTATTTAATATATTACCTATAATGAATTAAGATAGTACTAACATGTACCTATTCACGTTTATTTCATTTATGATTTAACGATTTGAAAACAATAATTGTAAGATTATTTTATTACTGCATAAAGTTTATTGTTTATTTATAAAAAATATAACAGTATCTAATAATACACATATCGATTATATGACTATGAAATTTAATTTATGTAAGAACTTAGAAGTGTCAGTAAAAATATTCGAGTAATAGTTTGGAAGGAGCTAGGCCGTATCTGGGAGGGTTAAGAGTTTTAGTTGCATTATGTAATAATTAGAAAATACATATTTTTAACACAGTTAAAACATCACAATATTTGTATTCCGTCTCCCAAAACTATGTTATAGTTAAGGCCTTTGAAAAGTAGTGTGGGGGTGAAATTCCCCACGTTTCCTCATTTAGGTTTTTAACTTATCTATTGATCAAATTACGACTATATCACTGTTGATAATGTGAAATATTGTATGTAGAAAATGTAAAGTGCAATGGGGGGTGTGGGGGGCGGAGCCCCCCACGTTATTCTCTATTCATTATATAGGCGTATACCCATAAACATTTTTAGGACTACACCACTGATTATGACTATCAATAGATATACTTTTTGTATTGTCAGTTAGTGTATTTATAAACTCACAACAATGTACCTTACTATCATTGATAATAACAATGCTGTGTACCTGCTAATATCGATGTCATAAAAAACCAATTAGCTACCTGTATTTGTAATCCCTTGTGTATTATACCTATATATTAACTCGAAAATTTGAAACTTTAAATGTTTATATCTAATAAACAAATTAAGTTTTATTAAAAATTCAAATGCCATTTACTATTGAATTAAAAACTCAAACATTTTATTAAATTAAAAATATGTGTTACCATTTAGAAAAACAAAGTTGACACCCTTACCAGGCATAAGGGATGAACTTAAAAAGTATTACATAGTTAATAATTCAAGTATAATGTGTAACTAAAGATAAAAATAAAAAAAAAATTTTTAATTATTATTATTCTGTAACTAATTGAGTGGGTTATGATAAAAAAATCATTCTGTATAACTGTATCAGTAAAATTTTTTTTAGTAACTAAAATTTTGATGATTTTAACACCCTAAATTATTACAAACAATAATAGAAACCCTTTTTTACTTAGAGAACATCCTATATAAATACATTTAGTACTAATTTCATATTTCAAAAAAAAAGGTATTGAATATTATATTTTTTTAATACTGAAATATATGTTTTAATTTGAGAATTGGCGTTAATATTTTATTTTATTTTAGCTTCGATGCGAAGCTGAGAAGGTATTAATTTTACTATGATGTGTTTTTTTTGTGCCTGTTACCACTTTTTCTCAGTTCTCACCGAACCGATTTCTTTCAATGATACGTCAAAAGATCACAAATCGAATCTGGTCGAAGACATTACCCTAAATGAGGGAAGAAAAAAATTTCAACTTTAAAAATCGCTAATTTTCGAAATTTTTTCAATTTTTTTTACTTAAAACTGCCATAACTCTATGAAAAATGACCAAATCAATATAATATTTTTATAAATACATAAGGTATTTAATTATTATTTGGTATATATATTTTTTTAATCTGACTATTCGCTTGCCCACAGGAGAGGATTCAAAATGACAAGTTTTTCATAAATAATTATCTTTTTCAGCTTAATATTTGAAAGTTTTCCTGAAATACTGACACTTTTATATCTTAAATTAAAGGTTATGTAATATACTTCAATGTTAAATAAAAAATTTCGGATTTTATTTTGTCTTCATGGTGAAAACGGACTTCAAAGTTAATAAAAAAAATACGATTTTTGTTAAAAATTTCTTTTTTATATTTTTAACTTTATAACGCTATAACTTTTTGAAAAATGTATGGATTTTTATAATTTTTTAATATAAGTACTATATATCCTTCTTTTATGCGACATACTATTTTTTTTAAATCGTACCATTATACTTTATATATTTATTCATATATTACACTTATAAATCATAAAACTTGTAATCAGGATATAAAAAAGGTAGTAGGAGATCATGTAGTTTTTGAAATAATCCACCATTTTTTTTAAATTAAACACTATCTACAGATTTGCATCGAAGCGTTTTTTATGATAGAGATTTTTATCACTGTCAGATATTATACTTGACTGAACTTTGCCACGTCCCCACTGTACAGCGACACCCGTGCTGGTTTTTTTAAAATCACACTTATACATTGTACATTGTAACTTATATTCAGGCGGAACTAACGTGGTGACTTTTCAAGCGATTCCCTGTTATATAATTTACTTATTATATCAATTGTTCATGCAAATCTATATTTTATAATTAAAAAAAATGTAGTTTGCTATGTACATAATGAAAAATAAATAAACCTTATTGTCAATATTTGGGATATTATTTCAGTAAACTTTTAAAATAAGTAAAACTATGGCTATGTTTAATAAATAAGGCTTCTTTATATACCAAGTAATTTTTAATATATTATAATTATTTATTTGGCTATTAAATTACTCTATATAAAACACGCTATAAACAATCTTCAAATTTAACAAATATATAAATTATTTTATTTATGCTAATCAATGCAAATAGCATTTTTTTTTATCAAGTCAGTTTCGTGCAGATTCTGGCTTAATATGTACTCATTTATAGCATAACAAGTTTATGTTAATCAAAAAGCTGCATTGTGTACAACTGCTAGTTGTATACGGGCGTATAGGTCACCAAAAATGTAATGGAAAATAATTTTTCCCAAAAAGGCTTAATTTGGAAATGAAAAGCAAATGCATATATATTAATTGAAACATGCGAAGTAAGCAAGCGGTACTTGAAAGTTAAATAAAAGAACCAAGACCTTTCGCCCGAGTAGATTGTAACACTCAACATTTTTATTTTGACAAAACTGTGCCTACCTTTAGAGTTTTTATTGGTCCTCGGCTCGAAATCGCAGCCGGTATGTAAGAATCTGTAACATAAAGTTCGAATATTACGGCGTAGATACGTTAAAGACCACTTTGCACAATCGACTCGGGCAGTATAAGAGGTCTTAAAATGAAATTGCCATAAATTAAACATTTTTATTTAATACATCGTATTTGTTTTTAGTGCTCTAGTAAAAAATTATAATATTTTATATTGAAATAATGATGCTAACAACATTGCGCGACCTGAAAAAGTAACAGTGTGAAACAAATGAAAAAAAAACTTGCAAATTAAATTTTGTACAAGTGTGTTGAAAAAATAACAAAGAAAATAATAACGTTGAAAAAAGATGTTTGAAAAAAAATGGTATGCGTATAAAAATGTAATCGGGTCAGTAGCTCAATATTGTGGGAGGGAGAATTCTTGTAGAGGGGAGAGATCATGATGCGTAGAAATGCGGTATAATAACATGAAAGACGATGCAGTATAATTTGCTAACGTTGCCACCTCCTTTATAATCAGTTTTTGACTTGTATTGTGTCGAAAAAACTGCACTTAAAGACTATTGTACACGAATAATTTTCAACTGTATTAAAACTACAAAAAAACAATTTTTTTTCATACCCAAAATAATATCCAACTTTTTATACTACACGGCATTCATGACAAGTCCCTAGAGACTCGCGGTTCAATTCAACCATAAATATATTTTCGACGAGTTATTTTTTATAGAATCCTTTAGAGATATTTCCTGTTTTTACTTTTATACATAATCCGTGTACAATGGCGTATCCAGAATTTTTTCTCGGGCAGGGGGTCGCAACCCCATAACTCCCTGGATGCGTCATTGTCCATGTATATGTATATGTAAAAAAGTATCAATAAGCTCTATTTTGAATGAAGATCGTTAGCATGTCATTGGCAAGTTATCACGCGCTACGCGAAATCTTTGGCACCCCGACAAAATACGCTTTTGTATTGATTTTTGTCCTACGTATTGCAGTCGCCACCGTCATCACTACCGCCAATGGTCTCTGTCGTTTGACCCTAGTTGTGTATATATATATATATAAATCTGATTCTTCTTTCCGCTTTCAAATCCCATTTTAATTTGCTAAGCTTATTTCCGGTTACCCTTCGCGCTGTAAAAATGTTACCTGAGAATTCAGATGTGTTTATTTATACGCTTGACACTTCGACTTTTACACTGAAGTGGGTTCTGCCTCTTTTTTCGATTGCTTAAAAAAAAAAAAATGTTTTCTCTTCTGTTAACGCGACCTATGTTATACACTATTACATTGACCCAAGTAGGGACAAAGTGAATGTCAGATTCAATTACAGTCGCCGACATAATCTTTTTATGCTGAACTCGCTACGAAAAAATATATTCATTTACCGCACACAAAAGAATGTTAACTTTAAAACCCTTGAGATTTACCTTGATTGACACTAACAGGATTTCATTTACCTTTTACATTTTTTCGCGAATCATTATTTAATGATACTATTTATTCAAAAAATGTGATGTTTACTCCAAGTATGATTTTCAAAGTTTTCTGGTTAAAAGGTGACGAAGAATGAAGTTGGCTATTAGTATAAAGTAAATACGAGCTTGCTAGAAACGTTACTACTCTCGGGAAATGAGAAAATATTTGGTCGTCAAAAAAATGTCAACAATACCTCCATAAATCTCGAAGACGTGATTCGACGACCAGTGTATATGTGCATAAGGATTGAATGCATTCGTTTTATGTTTAGCCCAATTGGTGACAACTTGCAAGCTTTGAAATGGTCGATTACATATTAGATGCCTTTTAAAACACATTCCTTACATTACTGGATAGAGAACATAATGTATACATATTTTTAACGGTGATCAGATATGCTTATCTTAACTTTCTTTTTTATGATTGATTGTTATGTTTTTAATGATTAGGTTTTGTGAAAATATGGTAACTATTCAAATTAAAAGAAAAGCTAAGTTTTTTTTGGGACGTATTGTCATTTTTTTTTTTTTTTACACAATATAAATCAATCGTATAAAATAAATTGTATTATCTCAATAGAATTCTTTATCAAAACAATACGATCAAACTTAAATTTAAATATTCACGAAATTCTTTTTTGTTGGAAATAACTATGTACTTTAAAATTATTCACCAAACATAATAACATTTTTACATCGAAAGATTATTTAATTTCATAATTCTTAACGACTTTTAAAGAAAACCAGTGGGAGTCGGCTAAAAAGAAGAAATATATACGTTTTTATACATTTGTATTATTATAGAAGCATTTTATACCATCTCTCATTTTTCTCGTCTATTTATTTTTACGTGGTGTGACCATTCGATGAACAATAAATGGTTATTTGTACTTGAGTAATATTTAGCTTAATGTTTAAATTTTCATATACAGTCAACATATTTTGTGACTGCAAAAGTAAGAAATATGAGATGACATAAATTAGAATGTAAGATTGGAAATTAGCATTTCTCTACAATTATTTATGGTTTATAAATTGTATACATTTATCATTGAAATCCCTCGTCTTTGTTTCATGAAAGCGTAAAATGATACCATTTCATTAAAAAAAAAAAACTTAGCTTTTTTTAAAAATTCTATGAAAAGTAATGTAACCAACATTGCATGACATAATATCATCAAGAAAACGTTATCTATTGATTAAGTACGGGTAAATTAGGTGAGAACGCATTTTAATTAATTAAAAATTAAACATTAATTTATAGCAAATCTTGTTGGCTTGAAGTCTATTTGGTGTAGTTAAAAAAAGAAAACTATAAAGATCTTTTTAAGTAAAAGTAAAAATATTATAATCTTACAAAAGTTGCATGAAAAACGCCAATGTTACAATGTGATGAAGCTAAGATGAATTTTTCAGATATATAAAACGTCAAATTTATTTTAATTTTAGTTAAAACTGTGTTTTTTTCTGTTGAATTTATAATGTCTCTTAGACATAAAAATAATTTTTTTTTTATATAATTATTAAATAATGAATCACGTTTTCTTATTTTTGTTGCAAAAAAATAGTTTAATAATTTAAATTTTTTATTATATTTGTATTTTTATTATAAAAATATATTATTGTATTTTTACTGTGGTAGTCATACTGGTATATTTTTTTTTTTACGTATTATAATTGAGTAGTTATTATTATTTTATGTCTAAATAGGTCTATTTTTCTGTTTAAAATTTACTAAAATATTGGCTGACAAAAATCATATAGTGGCATATATGATGGTCCCTGGTTAATTATGCATTTCTAGATTTATCAAACTAAAGACGACTTTTGATAATTACACTATTTTTCTCTAGAGACTTGTCATTACCTTGAAAATAGCTCTGTAATTATTTGGAAATTGTAATATAAACTTCTGGCGCTAAATAATAAGATTTTGATTATTAGATAATCGATAAATTCGTTACCTAATACTGATTATTATAATTTGTTAAAATGGTTTAAGTTTGATTGAATTTATATTGTTTTTATAAATTATATTTATTGAAATGTTTAAGTAAAAACAAACTTGTTCCGTTTTTAAATCATTTTTAATTTTCAATTTAGTTTCCGTTATTATAAATCTACTTATTTGAGTATAAATATTTAATTTATTGCCATGATAATATTAAGAAAGTTTTTCTTGAAATTTATTATAGTTTTCTACTTTAAAAAATGAACGCTACTTTATTATAGTTTAATACTTATCGCAGTAACAATTTATTTAGGTATTGAGAAAAAAGTCTCTACTTGCTTCATTTAAATTTATTAGCAGCAGAAGTATTATTTCAAAGCATTAAAATATAAATAAATATATAATGAAAGCGGCATCTACTTTTTTAAATAAAAATGTGGTACTATATTAAATATTTAATTTGTTTTAAACTACTGCTTATAAAAATTGTACATTTTTTTTTATAACAGAATACATTTAAAATAACAAAATAATATTTTTATAATCTTAGTTACCTTTGTTTATTAAATTTAATTTGTTTGTGGTAGTAATTACGTTTATAAAGTACAATTTTCACGTTTATAATTGTACTATGATTGGGTACTGATAAAAATTAAATTATATTGTTGACAAAATGCTCAGAAAAATAACTAAATGAGTTAAAGTAATTATAAACACTGAAGTATGTCAAATAATGAGAATTTAAAAATATATTTTTTTTAACACCCAAAAAGTATTTTTAATTTAAATTTTTAAATTTTGTTTACTTTGATTTTACTACAAAAGGGATATTAAAATTTTTTAAGTGAATTTCTATTTTCTTCCTTTGTCATTAAAGTTTATTTTTAAAATAGTTATAAAATCTCAACCTACATAAATGATTGACAAAAATTAATAATATTATATTAATGTCAATAATTAATTATCATATTATTAATATTTAATGATACAGAATGAGTTTTTAACAATGACTCACGCAATATCTTTAAAAATTTTAAATATGATATTATTTTTCCTTTGTGGAAATTAATTTATCAAAAAATATTAAAAAAATCCTACGTTTTATATTTAAAAAAAAATTTATCTTATCTGCCGTCTCCCCCCTTTATTTTATAAATTTTATTTTTTAAATGTAACCATAAATGTTTAACGAACTATAAACAAGAAAATGATATTTCCAAGAAAAAATTACCGATAACATTTTTTAGATCATTATTTTGGTAGTTATGATTGTATTATGTTATATATTTTTTATATAAAGTTATTGTGTGACTCACAGTTAAGTAATCACTCTGCATAAATGACGAAATTATACAAATGTATAAAATAAGAATTTTTGTAACTTAAGTGAATAAATAGTTTTTATCAACTTTGAATATTTTGTCTTAATTTTTTAAGATAATTTACAATAGTTTTGGTTAATTAATAGTAAAAAAGCTTCAAAGCAATATATTAGCCTTAGAAATCAAGAAACTACGGAACTACTCTTTTCTATTACATTGAAGAAACATATCACTATGTACAATATGGTTTCTTGGAAATAAGGTAGTTCAAATAATGATTTTATTCTTCCTTTGTCATTGTTAAATCATAAAATGTTTTTCATTACAATTTATAAAAGAAATATCACTTAAAATTTATATATTTCATTTTGTTAAGATAGTGAAGAAAAAAAGAAACAAATAATATTTCATTAGACGACTAAAAATTTTAATTATTACAAAATACAATATTTTATACATATTACATTCATATACACCTAGTAGTAATTATAAATTCGATTGTTAAAATTTGAGTGCAATCAACCATACATATTTTTAAGGTATTAGATAAGGTCAAAAATTTAATAAA